CAAAGACATTTTTTCTTGTTTGGATTTTAAATCTTTCGCCTCAAAAATTAATGTGCATTAATTACAGAGAAAATTTACCACACCTACCAGCAAAGAGGGACAATCTTCAAATACACCAATATGAAAATATCCTGAGGTGCCTTATTTTCAAAATAATCCTGTTAGTGTTCTGCTTTGTCTTTTGTGTCCGCTTTACAACTGTTTCACCAAAAATTGAAATTAGCTGATTCCTCAGGCGTCAATCCTTTCCAACATATCAAAATGTCCCAAAAGACGCCGATGGAATAATACCTGCCACTAACTCCGCATTATTCTGTTGTGTCCTACGTGCTATTCTCAAAGAGACTTGTCGCCAGTAATGTGTTTTCTGGTTGCCAACTCGCGGATCGACCGGCAATGACTGCAAAAATTGTTTAATGATGCGTCACACACGATTGACACTCGACGCGGAACTGCATAAAATGATAGAAATAATAGAAAGCCACGTCCGTGCTCTCTCTCTCGGGATTGCGAGTCGCAGTAAATGATAAATTAATATTTCTTTTTATCCTTGACTACCAGCTAGGCTGCTTTCCGGTAAAAGCGCGACTGCAAAACGTCCTCTTACTGCGCTTTCACCAGGTAGCGAACAATTTATACCAACGCTGCTTCCAATCAAATAGCAACATCCAATAGTATGGCTTGACATCTAGGTCAAATTAAAAATGTCTTTATCTGGCAAAGCGGCTTACTGACATCGTGATTGGCAAATTCAGTGACTATTTGAGTGGTACGAATGCTTTTTTATTTGTAAAGTGTACGTATTCCCTTATTAATTGGTAAAATATGTATCTTTGGTAGCCTGCAATGGTTTTATAAGAAAAATCATCTTATATAATTTCATCATTCCTTTTCCCAAAGCACTCAGCATCTGGGGGCTATCTCGAGCAGAGGCCCATGGCGCCTTTAAATAACCAGATTTTCCTAAATATGTTTCTGAAAGAGAATCTTTGATATTGTAACATACCAGTTGGTCTATTTTCCTCGAATGGTCTCCTGAGCTTTCCAATATTATTTTCAGATTGGCCCTCTGTTATATTATTTCAGCTTTATACCTGTATCTATCTAAATGAATGAGGATGCTTTGAAGTCATTCTTGGAAACTCTATTCAAAGGTAATGCATAAACAGTTGGTTATTGAATCGTCTGACCATTTTCCAAGGACTTGAAACGCCTATGCGTCATTACGGGTTTTGTTCAATCTCCGAGGCCGTTTTATAAAAGGTACGTAACGCACTCTTGTTAGGAGCTAGCCATTTTGCCATTATGTTGTCAAACATCTGTAAATTATGCGATCTCCGTTAATTGCTGGTGCATTTAACAGGCATTATCTGTTAAATGATTTAGGACTCTTTGATATCTTCAGTATCTTTGTCGACGCTACAAACATGGAAATAAAGTAATGTAAGTCTGAGAACAAATGTTTGAATAACGTTTTCTAGACACCAGATGATCCAGTTTATTATCACCTCTAGTAGACAAAAGTACATGTACACCATAGATGAAAGCCACGAGGTCGCTTTTGCCATTCGTTAGTATGCAATTTTGATATTTTTTGCCTTCTCGAAAGCGATCTGAAATGGTATAAAATTGACGTTTGTTCACGTGTTATTTTATCCTAAGGGACATTGTAAACTTGTGAACCAGCACGCATGACACAAAGATTTAATCGTGTGTATTTTAGGAATTGCGAAACGCAATTGCGAAAATTACTCTATTCCTGTTGTAAAACATATTAATGAAATTTCCTTACTGTTACTGGTTGTCTGGTTCTTCATAACAAGAGTGAATTTGAATTATGTGTTCTTTTATCAGGAAACGTGTTTACAGCGTGACTTTGAGCCTATGGCTTTCAGCATGCCTCAGCTGTTTCTTTCTTTTTTATTTATTAATCAATACCATTTCTTCAAGGTGGGTGATTATTGGAAATGGGCTCATTTTTCAATTAAGCTGACCATATTAAAAGCACTTTCCCTGTAAAACCATATAAACACTTAATATCATCTTATAAAAATGCTTTTTTTGTATTATCCACCTTATGGCATTGATAATCAGTTGATTTACAGCTACCTTACAGATAAATATGAAAGCTAAAACAAGGGTTTAAGCACAGTCAGCTCACGACGCCTATCCTCCAATTTAATAGAGATAAAGGCTTTTTACAACTGACAGCTAACATAAACTGATTTCTGGCATAGCCGAGCTATTTCGAACAATAAAGTGAGTTACATTTCACTCACGTACCGGGGGTATAATGCAATTAATGATCATCACTGCACAACAAGATTTAATTGGTTATAAGTGACTTTTTCAACAGCCATTTAGTAAAACAGATTCATCTTTCACATTTATTTTGAATGATTATGACATTGTGAAGTCTTGACATAATTCCATTAGTTCGTGGTATTCATTGCAGCACATGCCACAGGTCCACCTAAATATTTTATTAACTAAATGTAGATAAGCATCTACAAATAGTGCCATATTTATAAAAACAAGAGTTTATCGAGCGTGAATGAGGGAACAAATATGTGGGAAGAACCATTGTTATTGACAACATTTAGCACGCTAATCATTAATATAGTCAAGTGAACGTTTTCTGACCTACTGTACGCAGCTGTTTAGCTGTGGGATGTGCTTTTCTTTTCCTTTTTCCAGATAAGTTATAAGAATATAGTAATGTTTCTTCAGTCAACAGCTTAATATTGAAAAAGTTTTTACCTCCAATATTTCGATGTCTAGCAGAACATCTTCATCAGGGAATTATAACACAGCTGATGAAATTCTTCTCTGTCCAGATAAGTTAGGCGAAAAAAAAAGCAGTAAAGCAAGCATAACGAAGCAGAACCGAACAATTTTCCGTCCCTGTTTCCAATACAACATATTTATAGTTAACTTGGCATCATAATCTGTTCAGGATTATTTAAAAAAGGGGTCCACGGATGCTAAGCTAGCCCCCCCCCCCCCTTTTGGCGTGGGGTTCGGGGTCCAGTGAAGGGCCCCTATAAATTTTGGTGTTTTAGACCCCATTCCCACAGATTTTAGATGGATCTATCCCTGTGGGGAGTCTCACTAGATTACTGTCAGCTTAGCCGGCTTAATCGTCTGTCCCGCCTACTAAAAGCTGTAAGGGGGGTAATTAACTATGGTGCGCGCTCGGCTGACTGCAATTTAGCGTGAACCCCCAGGGAGTTAGGTCGATCTAAATCTAAATCTCTGGATCGATTTAAATCTCTGGGAATGCACCCTTAGAGGGCGCGCGAACGGTGCCATTCTGTATGGCTTAGAACTATGATTGATTGCTTAGAACTGATTTCGTTTTTGTTGTCATTTTTCCTGTTACCCTTCTTTAACTTCCAAGAAAATAACGAGTCTGCTAGTGATGATTGTTTTTCTAAAATGTATACTGTCATACGCCATAATAACTTTCTCGTGAATCAATTGATAACCTTTGCATGATCAAAAAGAAAACATCAAAAGATTTTGATGGCAGGTAAGTACAGAATTAATGAAGATATCTAAAGTATATTAAAACGGTGTTTATGGTATTTACCGGCGACAGATTTTAAGAAAAAAGTAATTTTCTCTTCAATCAACAGCTAAACACAGCGTTTAACCTTGTAAAACAAGTCTAGCTACGATGGAGACGAAATTTCATTATTGTCAGATTGTACTACTACTACTACTACTACTGTGATGTTAGTAAATTGACAGCATGCAGTGAATAAGAGCGGGGAGTGTTTAGTAGAGTAACTTAAGTTGATTGACATGCTCTTATGGTATTTATACTACTGCGCTTAGTGTAAACAGGGAGAAGGCCGCTAGAGATTGCATGAGGTAGGAATAGAAATGAAGGAAGCGGCGCGGGTAACAACTGAACAGTAGTTAAATAAATAATAAGAAAGATAATATCTGAGTTGTATTTGCTACCTCACGTAACATGAAAAAGACAAGCCAATAGCTTCGTCACTCTACTACTTCAACTACTACTACTACTACTACTACTAACAACAACAACAACAATAGCAATAATCATAAACAAAGCAATAAATACAGGATGAAAATGAGTAAAAGCTCGTGCTTAAAACCACTGAAAATTGATTTTGACTTTTTCCCGCTGCCTGCGCGCCCTCTTGTCCGTGTATTGCCTTGTAAGTGACGTGCGTGATGAGCATTTATGTGATGTAGGCCCTACTGCATGTACTACTACTACTGATGAAATTGAACCACGACATGCTTGAGAATTGCAGCGTGACAACGTTCAACCACAGGGAATAACTTCCATGACTAAAATCAGATAATAAAATAATACTGCCTAAAAAACGCCTATAAAAGATGTTTTACTGTTTTTTATGTTAAATGAAGTGAAACAAGAAGAGAGTTTCACTATATTTATTAAAATCCTTAATTTTATTATTAAATTCATTGACGCCAAGTTAAAATAAATGACCACAAACAAAATCATATTACAGAGATATACGTACGTGTTCTCCATTTTAATGGCGAGCTCAGTATGAACAATTGAGCTGGTTATGGACTACAGGTACCCAGGTAAACATGCAAAAAATTTGCAGTCATTTTTTTTTTTTTCAAATTGATAGTTTCAATTGATTGTTTTCTTTTTAATCTACCAACACACACACACATGCAAAAAAGATGTGAATACTAAATAGCAGATATAGGCCTATTACATGTAGTTATTCTACCCTGTAAATGTGGTTTAAAACTGCCGTCTTCTCCCCCTTCCTCCTTTCCCCTCCAGCGTCTCCCCTCCTCTCAGCGTAATTTTTTATTTTCCAACATCTATTTTACTCCTACAAAAAGAAACTTGTTTTAAAATAAAGAAATAAAAAACGGTCGTCAAATCGAGATTTACATAAATTTTAAGTGGCCAATGCATAAAAGGTCCCCCCCTCCACCAGTGTGACCTAATTACGAAGAGCAACATGTTTGACCTATATTCCAAACGAGGCTGAGTGTTGAAGCACCTGGAAGAAGCCCTGTGCTTTGGGTAAGAACTCGAAAATGATAAATATTTTAGAGTGAAATATGACATTAAGGAGGAGATAGGATGTTTAAGGCAAGCATGCTTCAATAATATGCCAAGAAAAGAACATTTTGGGTGCTTTAACTACTAGTGTATCTTATATTCACATTGTAACTTAGCACCAGTTCAAGTCTTAAAGTTAATTGAAAGTGAAATGGAGTGTTTTGTTAGCCTTCCTTTTATGGTATGAAGGCGGCTTTTTTCCATATACTGCATTTACTGTATGCATACTTTGATAAGATGAATGACAGACGTTTTCGTATGTTGTAGATCAAATGACAATTTACTCTGTACAAATAGAAATGTATATATTGTTGTGCATTCATGTATCAAGCAGAGAAAATTTGTCTGGTTTGTTTTGATATTTTCGGTTCATGAATTGTAATTTGTAGCATTTTATATATATATTTTTTACAGTGAGCTGTTAAAGAATTGACCAAATTCCAACATAAGAAAGATGTAGTTCCCCTCCACACAGCACCTGCCAACAGCACTGGCTTTGATCATATTACTGTTACTATATATCAAATAAGCCTCTTAAAGCTGAGTTAGAACAAGTGCACCCACTGCAGTCATCACTGATCATCTAACCTAAAGTAACCACACCAGAGTGACTACAGATGATAATATCAGGGAAGAATATCTTTTGATAACACTGACCATTGTAAATGAAAGAACCTCAGTAATTCTTAATCCTTGATAAAGTTTTGATGATATCAAATTAAAAGTGACAATTCTGAACCAGGAATTACACAAAATCGCCGTATCATTGACAGTCTCACAAAATGGCTTTCCCCCATGCTCACAAGACTGTCATCGTGATTGATCACAGTCCACATTTTTCCGAGTCGTGCAAGCAAGCCATAGAGTTTGATGTACTTTTCAACAAGAACCGAACATCGGGGATCATTCCCTTGGCTCCTGTGATGAAGAGCATGTGGACTTGTAATGTGGAGGCCGTTTTGGAATACTGCAGGATTGTGTATGATGTTTTCCCTAAGAATAAACTGGTGAGTTTACTTGTGCAATATATATTCACAGTTTTAAAATCTGTATCAAGACTTTCTTGTTTGTCTGTAGCTGATTGCTGTTATGACTGTATTGTCAGTGCAAAATAGATATAAAAATATGTACTAGTAGGTATTTTATCTCAATTACATATTTTAATATCTCTCTCCAGATTCGTCTAATTAGCAGTGATAGTGCGGCCAATACTATGAACACTTGGAAACAGCAGGAGCAGCTACTGAATCATGTAATGTGCTGTTGATTTAGAGTCTGAATAAGAAATAAGCCGATTTGGGACTAGCTTTTTCAAATTTCCACACATTCCGGATTGGAGCGTAATAACTTAAATGTTTTTTGATTTAAAACATCACGCCAAATAAGAAGACAACATGTAAAATATTTTTAGAATTTGTTTTCTCTTTATCATCATTACATAATAAACAGTGGAAAAAATATATATCGCTAATACAGGGATTAGGTTATGGACTTGTTGGGAGCAAAAAATATCATTGGCTTAGGCTGGTTCCTAGACCCCATGGCATATTTTCTGACTTTTCCACTAAATTTCTGTCTCATCCCTGAAAATACTTATATTATGATTTATTGCATTTCAGCTTCTGGTGCTCTTTTCTGCCATCAAGCCACCCTTGGCCAAGTCCCGTAAAGCTGACTTCAATATCATGCATGGTTTGGTGCGTGCCATCGAGGTTCTCTGCGAGACGTCGGAGTTACAGCACAGAATGAGGACGTCTTTGTCCCCAGATGACAGTGCTGTTGTCAACAGGGGAAGGGTGATATGTCTGACAACCCTGAAAAGGTAGATTGAAGAAAAAGACTGTGTTGAATGTAACTTACTAGTACATGCATCTGATATTTCATTTCTTGTTTTGAGTATGGAAAATTATAAGCAGCCCGATTTGACATATTGTATTACGTATATTTCGGTGGGGGTTTAAAAGCTATATTTTATTCTAAATGGAACCCATCTGTGTGCATTAGTATATGGATATAACAGAATTTAAAACTGCCTGATTTCTACACAATTTTTCAATCACTTCAGTGATACGTACTTGCTCCCAGCATCAGTAATGGGTGATGAAGGTGAAAACTCTGTAGTAAGCTTTAAAAAATGGATAGAAATAAGATATATCAAACTTACTAATACATTCATTCTGCTGATTTTCTTCTAGTGATGCCCATGTGAGGACCATAGAGGAATGTGTACAAGACACCATTGTACAACATAATAAACTAGCTGCAAGCTCAGACAGGTCTGTCCCAGATTGAATCGTGTAAAATAAGAGGATTACTTAAGAATCTGCATCATTTTCTCAATATATATATATACTTTTAACAATATTATTTGAACTAAATTTGGACTAAAAAGATAAAGAGTGTGGTTGCAGTTCTAAGCAAATCCTATATTGATTTTAGTTTAACTATGACATGTTTTCTTTGATAATAAATTAATCCTCTTGTAATGAATACCATAAAGCTGAAGCCTTTTTTTTGCCTTATAAAGATTATTCTGTTATATTTATCAAATAATTATTTGCATCTTTAAGACAAACATCTGTGATTTAAACATGAGAAGTCCGTTGCACTATACCAATTACTATCAGAGTTAAATTTAATATAAATGACTGTTCTTTATTCCAGTCTGATTCCAATTGACCATTGTGAGTTAGTATTGCTTCACATAGTGCCTGTGGGGGATGATTCTGCTGTAACTGGGAGAACTAGAAAAGAGGTACCAGTTTTTTTTTTTCTTAGATTGATCCAGTCATTTATAATGGCAGTCTCCTGCCTAAGTAATAGATGTGAGTCTGAACCATTTTCAGGTGTCTGGCACATATAGTTTGGGAAAGAGTTGTGTATCTTTCTGGAATGCTAAGTTGTAACTAATTGCATGTTTTGCTTTTTTGAAGAAATATACTAATCATCCTCACATTAATTGTTAAAAAAGGGTGCAGATACTGACATTATATTGATAAGTGTCCTTTACAGAATGTTTTCTCTTTCTTCAGAGCAACTGTGGGTTCTATCAAAGAATATTTATTTGCAAATATTTCCCTAGAATTGTTAGTTTTAGGTATCCTATAGCTAGGAATATCCCCTCTATTATGTGAAAAGGTGAGTTTCTCGTAATACATGAAACTCAGGGTGAACTTGTATGGCTACATTTTAAAGTATAGGGAATTTAATTTCTTTTAAAGATTTCCCCTCTGCTCACTAGCGAGGTACATGTGACACAATCAGGAAAGTTCATCGCACTGAAGTTAATGGAGCTAGTGCAGAAACACTACGATTTGTTCTCAACGACAGTGACTGGGATTCCCATGAAGGTAAGAGAAATTTTACTAAATTGATAATTGTTTGGTGCAAATTTTGGAAAATTGATATTTTGTACTTATTACTAAGTGAATTTTTTGGAAAACTGGAATGGAGTGGAAAATGAAAATTAGCTTTGTATATGGGAATTTAAGAAAAGTCACCTCTGTATGATGGAAATTCTATAAAATTATCTTTGAATGATGAAATTTTAAGGAAACTGATATTTGTATGATGGAAATTTTATAACGTGGCCTTTTAATGGTGAAAGTATTAGAATTAGCCTTTGTGTGATTAAATGTTAAAGGTGTCTTTGGTGGTATTTTTTGAACTGATATTTGTAGGAGCAAATTTTAGAATATTGATAATTGTATGAGTGGAATTTTAGCTGGAAAACTGATATTTGTATAAGTAAAATTATATCAGACTGGTATTTGCATGAGGGAAATTTTAGAGAAATTATATTTTTATAGGTAAAAGTTAAGGATGATATTTGTATCATGGAAATTAAGAGGAAGAAATAATTTTCAAAGTACAAGTATTGGTCATTCGTGCAACTTATGGGAGTGTGTTTATAAAAGAATTTTGCAGAATTTTTTACAAATGCTTCTTAAAAAAGTGAAAACATATCTTTCATAACATTTTAAAGAACACGTTTATAAGTTACATCCCCTTTTTTTAAAACTCGAGTACAACACATTTGTTTAAAATAAATTTGTATTTTATCAAATTTCATTTGGCTTATATGTCATTAATCATCTTATACAGGAAGAACAAAATGCAAGTTCATCAGCCAATTATGATGTGGAACTCCTACATTCAGCAGATGCACACAGGGAAATAATGAAATCGGGTATAATGAATGTTTACCATCATGAAAAATGAAGTTTGGTTACATAGAAATAATTAGTTATCAGTCGGCTCATAATGACCTTTTTGAGACTGGCACATAATGTTTTTGCAGGTGGTTAAATGAAATTACAATGAACTCTGTAACTTGTAGTCTTATAAGTGGAATTTCTTTTACTGAGACAACAGGCTTGTGACCTCCCCCTTTAGATTTGGTGGTACCCTCTTCTCCCCCTCCCCTCCCCCCTTAAAACAACTGAATAAAAAAAAGGATAAAGAACAAAGCAAGATAAAAGCTAAGCAGTTTACCTTCCCTGTGCCCTACTTGTTATTAGAGTAAAAGTCTCCCTTTCATCTTTTGTTATATATTTGCCAAGAGAGGCAAGCTAATTTTAAGTCCTTGTGTCCCCCATTAGAAAAATTTGTTTAGCTTTCTGAGAAAATTTTTTATCTCATGAATGTTATAGAATTACTTATATTTCTTTTACTACTTCATCGAATTACTAGTAACTACTATTACTAAATGGAACTAGACTACTACTACTACTACATCTACTAATACTATTCAAGTCACTGTTACTACTAGTACTGCTAACTATTGGTTAAGTAACTATTATTATTATTATTGTAATTATTATTACTGCATATGATATCATTACTATTCAGATCACCAGGAAGGCGTGGTCATCCAGTCAAAGGAAGGTCTTCCCACCATGACAGTGGGGTTGAAGTGGTGCACACCCAAGTCTAATGTTATAGGTATAGTACCCTCTACCAGGGCGAGTGATAGATTTTTTACAGATATTCACAGATATGTCTCTAGCTAGATAGATGGTCATTTAGGGCTCAACTCACCCTGTTGAGAAATCTCAAGGTTGATTACATGGCTGATAATTGTTTGCATAACTGCTCAGGCACTGCCACTTAGCAGGTCCAGTCTAAGTCTGCGTGACAGCAATCAAGACAGTTAATTACTCTGACTTCAATCACTTGCTCTTCTGTGACAGATAAAAAAGCCTTAGACTGGTTGCGTAACGAGCAGTTATCACGTCGTTGTGAAGCTCAGCTCATGCAGAGCAAGTAGGGGCCTACAAAGCCTTTGGCGCGCGCGCAGAGATAATTGTTTCCACATGGGATTTCTCAACAGGGTGAGTTGAGCCCTAAATGACCATCTATCTAGCTAGAGACATATCTATCACTCGTGGTCATCCAATCAAAGGAAGGTCTTCCCACCAAGACAGTGGGGTTGAAGTGGTGCACACCCAAGTCTAATGTTATAGGTATAGTATGTACTTAGTTCAGATTCAGATTCAAGCAGATGGGTAAGCTCTTGAGTGAGAGCCAAGGATGAATGTTAGAGGCCATTCAGAATCAGAAGAGCCGAGTGCTAGCTAGGTCACGACCTAAAGATGGCGGACCTACATGAAAGGAAGACTGCTTAATCTTGTAATGGTCTCTCTGCCTCTCACACGGCTCCCCACACATCGTCCCTCGACCGGTTGAATCGAACTGAGATTTAATTACTGTGCCCATGCAGGGACGATGTGTGGGGAGGCGTGTGAGAGGCGGAGAGACCATTTACTTTATTTACTTAATGCCAGAGACTGCAGTGGCATGTGTTATGTTTTCCATTCCATTTGTTTTTCCATTAATTGGTACATTATATATATTTTCAGTATATTTGTATTTTCCTCCATTTTATTTCCAGAGTTACAGAACTGTCTGGGTGCGTACAGAGTTACTCCTGTAGATGTGAATAGTCGGCCATCACAGTGTCTCACAAACTTCTTACTCAGTGGTAAGTAAGTTTTGCTCATGCAGCTAACCATATGTTTGCCAGAGTCTGGTATTATTTCAGAAAAAATATTTCAAGCATTTGATAACTATTTCAAGATTTCCAAGTTACTTTCAAACATGAAAGCTGAAAGTTTTCTTGGTGATTGGCATCAGAACTGAGCATTAATGGTTTGTTTTTCAAGAACCGGCGTGATGTTTGAACAGCAAAATGTATTACTGTTAGCATCGAATTAGCTGGCAGAAGGAGACATTGGCATCAGTGCTTCCAGAGTATTACTGGTTAATTTTCAGGAAGAGCCGTGATGCTAGAACAACCCAGGAAGACGGGGAGGGTGATGTCCCACATGTTAGCAAGTCATGGAGGAGAGCTATACATCCATGTACTGAGTATAGCCAGGTCAGCCCTGGAGGACCCCCCTTCCATCAGTGAGGGGGCAGGAGGGAGAGTCACAGATTACAGAATACAGGTAAGTGATTAATATGTTTATTCAGCCAATTAAAATTTATATATCAAAGTGCATTTATCAATCTTTTTCACTTGCTGGCAGATGGCTCTACTGGTTTCTGATTTACCTAATGATTAAACCAAACTTTAAACCGATTGTGTGATGGCCATTTGATCATATTCCTGTTGATTGTACTTTTTCATACTAATTTATTAAAGATGATTGATTTATTACATAGACCCACATTTGAATATATTATAAGAATTAAAAGATCTTAAGCATTTAGTAAATAAAAACAGCTATGATTTAATTTTTTTTCAGGACTTTGGAGATTTTATGAAAGAAAACAGACTAGCACCTGCAAAAGCTGGGGTGTCAGCAGTCAAACCCATTGAGATAGGTACTTTCCTCTCTCCTTTCTCTCTCTCTCTCTCTCTCTCTCCTGTTTTATCCTTTCAATGTTTTAGATAATTTCTTTGGACTAATGAATTTTGATTAATAGCTATCAGTTTTCTTATGTCTATTAGACCAAGTGTGAATCATAAATTACTATCTTTTTTTATTTTAAACTTATTTTTTTAGCCAAGAGTCAACTTGAGAGGATGACAAGGCACTGGCCCATTGTAATTAGTAATACAATCATTTTCAACATGGTGTCTGTAAGTATCTGGTTTCTTTTGAACCAAATTCAGAACTGTGAAATACAATACATATAAGGCTGCGCTTGCAAAACTGACAATTTCACTTTCTGATAAGTTTAAGACTTCTTTGATATGTACTCATATAAAAAAATAACATTATTTCAAATTTAAAAGGTTCCCTGAATGATCTGCATTTTTTTCTCAACCTGGAACACCTTCAAGTTGAATAAAAGCTTCCAGGTGGCATGTGTCTCCATCATGGGCCGCATGATTTTGTAATTGTGTTTTCCAATCTGGAAAAGCCTATAACTTATCTAATTTTTTTCCTTCAGCATCTTGACCCCTTGCCGTCCCTGATAATGAAGGAAGCTCTTGAGGAGGAAGAAGTGTTGGAGTGTAAGAAGGCTATCTACCACGTTGTGGGTATGGAGTCCAGGAATGACCCCTTGCCTGTGCCCACTCTAGGGACTAGGGGGAAAGGCCCTAAAAGGTAGGTTTGTGCAGCTTTTAGTTTTTCTTACATCTGACAGCAAAGGAGATTATGTTTTCATTGGCTTTGGTTTGTTTGTTTGTTAATTTGTTTGTGGACAAGTTATCTCAGTAAGTCCTGTTCAAACTTGGATGTAATCTTCAAGATAGATGGCTACCCAGGAGGGAAAGGTGAAGTGATTACAGTTTCCACTGTTTCTCTGAATAAACGTAATTTTTCGAAATAAAATTGCACATTTCTTTTTCATTCAGGGACGAACAATATCGTCAGATGTGGAATGAACTCGAAATGTTCATTAAAGGCCATGCTGGCACCTCAGCCAATCACAACGAGGTTCTCAAATGTCTGCTGGACTGTAAACGGCCAGAGGAAGGAAAAGGCAGCAGCGGCTCACCAGTGAAGGTGAAAGAAGAGAAACCNCATAACGAGCAGTTATCACGTTGTTGTGAAGCTCAGCTCATGCAGAGCAAGTAGGGGCCTACAAAGCCTTTGGCGCGCGCGCAGAGATAATTGTTTCCACATGGGATTTCTCAACAGGGTGAGTTGAGCCCTAAATGACCATCTATCTAGCTAGAGACATATCTATCACTCGCCCTGGTAGAGGGTATAGGTATAGTATGTACTTAGTTCAGATTCAGATTCAAGCAGATGGATAAGCTCTTGGGTGAAAGCAAAGGACGAGAGTTACACAACTAATTGTGAACTGCCTAGCTCTGAGTTTTAGCTCCAAGTTTATGAAATGAAGCTTTGTTTATTTATTTGGATGTATTAAGGCAATTAAAATACAATGCCAGAGACTGCAGTGACATGCTTTATGTTTTCCATTTCATATGTTTTTTCATTTAATTTAATTATTACGTTATATTTCTTCAATATTTTTGTATTTTATCCTCCATTTTATTTCCAGAGTTACAGAACTGTCTTGGTGCATACAGAGTTACTCCTGTAGATGTGAATAGTCGGCCATCACAGTGTCTCACAAACTTCTTACTCAGTGGTGAGTAAGCTTTGCTCATGCAGATTACCATATGTTTGCCAGAGTCTGGTATTATTTCAGAAACAAAATCTATTCCAAGCTTTTGATAACTATTTCAAGATTTCCAAGTTACTTTCAAACATGAAAGATTTTTAGGTGATTGACATCAGAACTGAGCATTAATGGTTTGTTTTTCAAGAACTTGTGTGGTTCAACAGCAAAATATATTACTGTTAGTATTGAATTGGCTCGCAGAAGGGGAGATTGGCATCAGTACTACCAGAGTATTACTGGTTTGTTTTTCAGGAAGAGCCGTGATGTTAGAACAACCCAGGAAGACGGGGAGGGTGATGTCCCACATGTTAGCAAGTCATGGAGGAGAGCTATACATCCATGTACTGAGTATAGCCAGGTCGGCCCTGGAGGACCCCCCTTCCATCAGTGAGGGGGCAGGAGGGAGAGTGACTGATTACAGAATACAGGTAAGTGATCATTATGTTTATTCAGCCAGTTAAAAAATGTGGACAGTTATGAGATTTTTCTGACTATCGGCAGATTTCCAACTTTTTGGGAGCAAAAAATGTCATTTTTCATGTCAATGCAGAAAACCCCCAAGATCCCACATCATATTTTCAGACTTTTTCACTTCATGACAGTCTCATTCCTGTTTATATGATGTACTTATGATAATTGGAAATTGGATCACTATCTCCAGTGTAAAAGTAGTAAAAAAGGAGTAATTAACTGAAGAACTGAGATGAAAGGTTACGAATTAAGTTTTACAAAGTTAAAAAGAGAAATAGCAAATGGCTACATATTTACTTTGGTATTTGATATTAAAGGGATAATAACTCTTCGTTTTGGCCAAAAAATGAATTTTCCTGGAGTAAACAGCAATTTTCCCATACTAACCAATGGTTAATGAATCCATTTATACCTTCAAAGTTAGTACCTGGTTTTTTTCTAAAAAGTTTGGTTTTTTGTTAAAATCTCTTAAAAGATTATAACAGAGTATAGCCATCAGTGGAGGTCACCTGGTCTGAAGACAAGCTCAGATATCAGAATAATAGCTATAACTGCCGTTTTTGTGGTAAAACAGAATATATTATATTTCTGTGAGTTATTCACAATGTTTTTATTGTGAAATATAAATCTCATAGGAAGAGTTATTATCCCTTTAAGTTAAACGTTATATATCAAAGTGTATTTGTCAATCTTTTTCACTTGTAAGCAGATGGCACTACTGGTTTCTGATTTACCTGATGACTTAACCAGGCCTGTAGCCAGGGGGGGTTCGGGGGGTTAAAAAGAACCGCCCCTTTTGCTGGGAAAGGTCCACTCTGGGTAAAATTTGATCTTGGTACATGAGGTTTTTATGGGAAAAGGTCTACATTTTCAGAAAAAGAACCCCCCTTTTGCAGTTGCTGGCTACGGGCCTGCTTAACCAAGCCATACACTGATTGTTTAATTTTTATCTGGTTTCTTTTGTTTTTATTTTTTTCTTACTAATTAAAGGTGATTGATTTATAACACAGACCCACATTGTAAACCCACATTGTAATGTTTTAAGAGAATTAAAAGATCTTAAGCATTTACAAAATGATAGCAGCTATGATTTAATTTTACTTTTTTTCAGGACTTTGGAGATTTTATGAAAGAAAACAGACTAGCACCGTCAAAAGCTGGGGTGTCAGCAGTCAAACCCATTGAAATAGGTACTTTCCTCTCTCTCTCTTTCTGTCCCTCTCCTGGTTTATCTCTTCTAATGTTCTTTCTATAGCTATAAATTTTGTAATATCTATTAGACCAAGTGTGAATCATATAAATTACTATTTTTTTTATTTTTGTCTTTTTTTAGCCAAGACTCAACTTGAGAGGATGACAAGGCATTGGCCCATAGTAATTAGTAATACAATCATTTTCAACATGGTGTCTGTAAGTATCTGGTTTCTTTTGAACCAAATTCAGAACTGTGAAACACAATACATATAAGGCTGTGCTTGCAAAACTGACTCTCTTTCACTTTCTGATAGGTTTAAGACTTCTTTGATATGTACTCACATAAAACAAATAACATTACTATTTCAAATTTAAAAGGTTCCCTGACTGAACTGCATTTTTTCTCAACCTAATGGAATGCCTTCAAGTTGAGTGAAAGCTGCCAAGTTGCTACTGTTCCTGTCATAGGTCACATGATTTTGTGATTGTTTTCCAATCTGGTAAAGCCTATAACTTATCTTGTTTTTTTTTCTTCAGCATCTTGACCCCTTGCCGTCCCTGATAATGAAGGAAGCTCTTGAGGAGGAAGAAGTGTTAGAGTGTAAGAAGGCTATCTACCATGTTGTGGGTATGGAGTCCAGGAATGACCCATTGCCTGTGCCTACTCTTGGGACCAGGGGGAAAGGCCCTAAAAGGTAGGTTTGTGCAGCTTTTAGTTTTTCTTACATCTGACAACAAAGGAGATTATGTTTTCATTGGCTTTGGTTTGTTTGTTTGTTCATTTGTTTGTGGACAAGTTATCTCAGTAAGTCCTGTTCAAACTTGGATGTAATATTCAAGATAGATGGCTTCCCAGGAGGGAAAGGTGAAGTGATTACAGTTTCCACTGTTTCTCTGAATAAACGTAATTTTTCGAAATAAAATTGCACATTTCTTTTTCATTCAGGGACGAACAATATCGTCAGATGTGGAATGAACTAGAAATGTTCATTAGAGGCCATGCTGGCACCTCAGCCAATCACAACGAGGTTCTCAAATGTCTGCTGGACTGTAAACGGCCAGAGGAAGGAAAAGGCAGCAGCAGCTCACCAGTGAAGGTGAAAGAAGAGAAAGCTGATCCATCACGGCAAGCGGAAGCTGCTTTGAGGGATTATGAGAAGTATGGGATTTTTTGTACAACATGTGTAATAATCTATGTGTATTGGTGAATTGTCTTAATGAGGGTATTTTAAAGATTGAAATCTGGATAAAAGTATATGATAAGATGTTGGTTGTGAAATATGTAGGCTTGTTGAGAATGTGAACAATAAGAATTTGTTTCCAGCTAAATAAGATATAATTTATAATTTGCTGTAATTATAACAATTTTACAATGATGTTGAAAAAGTCATTTATAAATGTTATTCTGTATGTAGCTGTAATATTTAGAATATCTGTCAATACAAAATTGAATACATTTGAATGAATTGGAAAAAATGAGCTAGTTGATATCTGAATTGTAATTTACTTATGATAAACTGACAACATCCATTTTGTCTGCACAGGTATCAGAAGATGTCAGAACGAGAAAAACAAGATCTGAACAAAGTGGAGATAAAAGACTCTCCAGACTCCCCTCCTCCTGTGAAGCAGCAGAAGATGTCCACTATAGGGAAAGTAACACCAGGTAAATACCTTCTACCATGGGTGAAAGATTTCAGGAGTATGCCTGATTTTAGGATTTTCAGTCTTCGTTTTGATAATTAAAAACATGGTTTAAATGCGATGAGAAATTGCCAGCAATGTTTTATTATCAGTTTTCACAACTTTCACCCATATTCTACTGTATAGAATTAGTGTCATAACTTATTGCTTTCGTATTTGCAACATAAATCTTTTTCTTCATGTGTCAGGTCTGGAGCAGACATGAACAATCATGGCCATCTTTTCTTCTCTGTTGCCTGCCAAGTGAATGAGATCTGTGTTGTTGAGACTTTTGCTAGCATATTTTCTCTGTGAATCTCATCCTCTCTCTGCCCCAGCCTCTCTTGCCCTGGATCTTTCCATTTATTATCAGATTTTCCAAGCCTTTCTTTCCGATTATCTGGTAAAAGAAATATAATGTAATGTTTATTTAATGTCATTTTTAGGGCCTCAGTCGCTACTGAGTTTATGGGCAAACAGACTGAAGAGCCAAAGTACCAAGAGACACAAAGAATTTGATGGGAGACTGGAAAGTGATGGACCACAAGCTGAGCTGTACATTCATCTAAAAGAAGAATTGCAAGGGTAAGGAAAAAGTGGTAAAATTAGTAAAAAAATGTAAATAATTTGATTTAGATTTTATCTTTTATAATTATTTAATTCATTTTCATATTCTATTTTGATTTTTAATTTAATACTGGTGAATTTAAAATTTAATTTAGTAAAACTGTTAGACTACATACACTTAAGGGCAGGGAGAAATAATTTAGGTTGATGAAGAGGTTTACTACTTTGAACAGAATGCCATACCTGTGCATTGAAATTCCTCGGTGTTGAAATTACTGAAAGCTCGTTAAAGGCACACAATGAGCATTTGACTTTTATATAATATAAGTTTATTATCCTGGAGAGATTTCTTGTTGGAAAGTAATCATAGTAGTTGGTCTTTTAAAAATGTAAATAAAAATAGAAATGAATACTCATTATTTGTGCTGATCAGATATAATTTTTTCTTTTCAGAAATACACCAGATGGAAACTTTCCACAGAACAAAGGCACTGCTGCTGCGAAGTTAAAGACAAGCTGATAGTTATGTGAAGACTTGAAAGAAAAATGATTTCTATTTGACACAACACATGTCCTGGCCTTACAGGAGACAGATTCTTTAAGTCACAGAATGACTTCAATATTGCGGCCACCTATACCTTAAATTAGGAACTAAAGGCTGGGTAGTACGTTTCATTCTGGTTGACTCACAGGACACACTGAGCTGTATACTTCTGACTGAGTAAAAACAATGCCAAAATTATATAACATAGTGACTGATACAAACATAAGAAATAATTTTACCTGCTCATTTGTGAAAATGAGTAGTATTTTAAGACAGTGGATAATCAAAACAGCAACAATGTTTACCAGTTGAGGCAGGAAAAAGAATAGCCCCAGACTCCACAGATGATGGCTGTAGGTTCATACACCACTGCATGTGTACATGAGAAAGTGTCAAGTATCATGGTAAGAGAAGAAACCTGTTGGTAAAGACAATTTGGGATTATTGATGTACAGAAATGGATCTAGGCAAGAAGGAATTGGATGGATTATGAACTCCGATATAACAAAGTAATTGAGCTGGGATGTTAAACAAAGTTGGACAAACAAATCAATAGCACCAGTTTTGAGCAAAGCCCAGAGAAATGTTTGAAAAAAGTGCATTTACTAAATAGATGCAAATAAATGATTTTGTTTTCAACAATGATGGGGACAAAATGGAAGTGATCTTTTGTAGAATAATTTTGGCAGAATTACAGCAAAATAAACCACAAATTTTTAAATATTATAAGTTTTTATTAATAATGAAGAAATGTTGGCCCTGTAAAAAGGCACTTCATTTCTAAATTAACAGAGATATGGAAACGTAATAAAGCATGCAGAATGCACACAACATTTAGAACCAGTTCTTGCATTCAAGTTGGTAACAAAAATTCAATTCAAAAATGCAAAACATAATAAGATATATAAATATATATAAATCTTCACACTAAAGCATTTTGCTTCTTGTTATAGTTCAATATGCTAAATATTCTCCTACTGCATTGAAAATTAAATATCTTTGGAAAAAGACAATACAGTAAAATTGAAATTATATCATCATGGAAATACCTTTCTAAAGGCATGTTTGAACATCCCATGATTATTCCTTTGAAAAGACCTCTAAAAGACTTTAACTGAAAATTTGGCAAATCAGATAGATATATTTACTGGACGGTAAATCTTATTGGACGTCTAAGAAAGTATACAGATTGTTATGTTACATACACATTTTCCTCTACAAAAAGGAAGATATTTTCACGTAAAAACTTGCATAGAGTTCCTGAAATATAAATGATTAATTTTCATTATTTAAACATGATGATGAATTTAAAACAAATTCAAAAATAAAACATTAAGTCACAGTTGAAAAAAGTTCAATATCACTTATCAAATGGGTGTCTGAGGCCTTTTGGAGGAAACAAATATCGTAAAAAAAACAAAAAAACCTGCAAACTCTATATTTAATTGAGGCACCAGGAGTCTGGAAAGTCATACAACCATGTGTTATGGCAAATAATAAATATTGTGAATATTACATATAATGATAGTGTTAATAAGGACTGTTAAATGAGAAGTCTGTTAAAGCATGTACTGCCTTCTTTGTCATCAGATGGGATGGAGGCTTCTAGATTCTGATCAGTTTGTTACAAGTGAGTGTCCAACGTATGTGGACTGAAAGGGTATTCAAACAAGCAACCAAAATAATCTTAAATAAGAGTGTGGCTTAAATACACAGAAAGGGGTATGGCTACACTGAGGAATCCTCTTGTTCAGCCAAATAGGGCGGAGGGAGACGATAGGCAGGTGGGGGTGGCCTATGGGGGCCCCGCCCACTCCCACTGTGATATGAAGGTGGGGGCGTGGTCTGATCCCCCTGATCAGGCCAATCAAAGTCAAACTGTGGTACACGATATTGGGGTGGCGGTGGCGGGTGTGGTCTCTCTGCAGGTGGTCTAGCTGCAGGACCCCCCATGAGGGGATCGCTGTCAGGTAACAGGAATAGTGGTTTCTTAGGCTTACGATCCACCTCCTGTAATTCGAGCTCCTCCGGTAAAATGACTGGTTTTCGTTTGCCACGCTTGGCATTGTATGTTGGCTTGTCTGCCTTGACCAGTCTGTCTCCACTGTCCCTACGACGTCTGTACAGGATGCAGACAATCAAACCAATGAGCAATAGAATCAGCACCACACCCACTGCTGGGATAATTGTGACAAGATAAATATAGTAGTTGTCAATGGCAACTGCCCCCACAGAAACTATAGGGGGCAGCACATCACCTGGCACACACACCCCTAGGGGGCGATACTGGACGGAGATTACCCTGAACTCTGGGAGCATCGCTGCTGAGAAATTTGATTTGATGTTCCCCGAAGTTGGGTCAATTATTTCATCTAGAAGGAAGTGTATGCTTTCATTCTGACAAACTAGTTTTGAGAAACTGTTGTTACTCCAAGCAACATTCACAGATCCATTAGTGACTGATACAACTGTGATGAATCTAGAGTCTGAATCCCCGAAAAATTTTCCAATTTTTTGCATCACTGTGATCAAGTTTTGAGTATCATTAACAAACTGTAAGTAATTCTCCTCTAGAGATATAACAAACACATGGGATACATCCACCACGCTTGAACTGTTGATAAAAATATTAAACACCTCAGTGCTGAACAATCCACCAGAATCTTCTGCCATGAGGTGAAATTCCTGCGGATTAAGAAGCAAATTGGCAAACACTGGAACTCCATATATGATTTGATTTGGCTCATTAAACAAAACCCATGACGCAGGCCCAAGTATTTCTCCAGTCCCACTGTCCAGAAGGGACAGATTGAGGTGTCTGGTGTCCCCATCTTCTCTGTCGTGGAAGGTGTCACGGGGTACCAGGTAGCTGAAATACTCCCCTTGAAACACTCGAAGATTATCGAACTGGTTGTACAGAATGGGGGCCTGGTTTACTGGCACTGGAAATACGTGAGTATAAATTATCAACTAATTTGTTATTTTTCTGTCAGAATTAATAATTTATCAAATTATCATTGTTTTTCTTTATTCAATTTATGTATAATAATCCCTTCCTCCAAATGAAATTAAAAACCAGATCAATAATATATAATCAAAAACCATTCATATTGAAGTAGCTACTTTTTTGCTAAATTAAATACTAGTACTAGAATTCATATAAAATGTGTACAATTTAAGCTACATACATTTATGTACTTTCCAGTGACCCTAGTAAATTACCTGTGGTGATCTCTATTGTAGTTGTCTGCACAGTGGTAGTTGGTGGCAATGTAGTTGTCATTACTGTTGTTGTTGTTTCTTTGGCTGTTGTCATGGCAACAGTAGGGCTCACTGTAGTAGACGGAGCTGTAGTGGTCTCAGAAGTTGTGGTTGTCTCATCTTTCGGTGTTGTAATTTCAAACGTTGTTGTCACTGCCTTTGTTGTTGTTGTTTTTTCTGCTGTGGTTTTCATATCTGTTGTTGAAGTTGGTGTTGTTGGTTTTGTTGTTGTCAATGCTGCTGTTGATGTTGTTATGCCTTCAGATGTTGTAATACTCTCAGTTGTTGCCTCAGTAGTAGTCGCCCCTTCCGTGGAAGTTGTAATGACTTCCGTTGTTGTTTCAGAAGGTGTTGTTGCAGTGGTAGCGGGTGTGGTTATCGACTCTGTTGTTGTAAGTGATGTTGTCACTGGTTTAGTTGTTAATGATTCCGTTGTTGTTGTTATTTGCTCAGTTGTGATTTCTGTGGGAGTAGTTGTAGTTGCTTCGGTGGTGGCAATTGTTGTTTCAGTTGTTACTGCTGTGGTGGTTGTTGTGACCTCTGTTGTGACATTTGTAACTGCTTCAGTTGTGAGCATTTCAGTGGTACTCAGTGCTGCTGCTGTTGTATTTTTTACAGTAGTATTCAAAGCCACAGTTACTCCTGTTGTGGGTTGCAAAGTTGTAGTTACAGCTTCTGTTGTCAAGTATGGAGTTGTTACTGCTTCAGTGGTGAACTTCTCTGTGATGTTCGCTGTTGTTGTATCAGTTTGTATTTTTGTTGTAGCTGTTGTCACTACTTCAGTTATATTTTCCGTAGTTGTTGCTGTGGTTGAAGTTGTAATTCCTTCAGTTGTAGTGGTCAGCTTTACTGTAGTAGTATCTTCTACAGTGGTTGTATCTTCTACTGTTACTGTTGTTGTTGGTGCTGATATTGTTGTGTTTAGTACAGTGGTTTGTTTCTCTGTTGTTGTTGGCAGTGGTATTGTTGTGGTTAGCATCGTTGTTGTATCAAGTTCAGTAGTTGTTACTTCTACTGTTGTTGTCTCGGCTTCTGTTGTTGTCACTTCTTCTTCAGTTGTAGTTTCAGGTTCAGTTGTAGTTGCCTCTGGAGTTGTTGTTATCTCTGTTGTTGTTTCTTCTGTTGTTACTGCTGTTGTTACTGTTGGCATTACTGTGGTGACATTAAAAACCGATGATGATGTAACTGAGATTGTTGCTGTTGCTGATGATGTCACTACTGTATCTATGCTGGCAGATGTTGTATCTACAGTGACAAATGATGACAAAATAAGAGTAGAAAACTCAAAAGTGCTCTCGCTAGACTGGTCAACTAGTGAAGATGTCTCTATAATGCTGGACAAAGTAACAGTTTGAGATGGTCCCTCTGACACAGACTCGCTAGTTGATGGCGACAATGGACTAACATCCGTAGAAACAGTCATGTCCTCGCTGGATGACGCTGAAAAAACAGAGCTGTCAAAAAGGCTTGAAGCTGATACGACAGTACTGGTACTAGAAGTTTGTACTGGGGGTTGTGGGGAAGATGTCATGTCTGTGCTCAGTGTCTCATATATGGTGGACAGCAGAGTCAACCTGGTGGGCTGTGCCATGCTGAGCGAAGGCGTGCCTGGGAATGGCGTCGCCTGATTCAGCTGTCTCTTTGTGCGCTTTTTCTTCTGGCCCCCAGACCTCGTTGGCATGAATGCCATGATATGCCAACCAATGATATTGAAGCCAATTTCGCTGGTTATTCTCCCACCGGCCACGTTGTGATCCAGGACCTGGCTGAAGTCTCTGGCAAATCTGAACTCCCCACAGCTGATTGGCCACGACATAAGGACGCCTTTGCCACTGGAGGAGGTGATGCCATTTAGAACATTCCCTGGTCCTGCCATTAAAATAACTAGTTCTTGGTTCACAGTATTCCCTCTCATTCCCATGTACTCATTTAATGTTACTTTCTCTACAGGAATTTGAACAAAGCTTGCCAAATTTTGCAAAAGCTTCATTCTTCTATGTAATGGGAGCTCTGCCAGGTCTACATCCAAGACAATGTTGGCAGAGTAAGCAAACACTTCTCCGGGACAATCAGGTTGGTTCGATGAAGAAAACGATGATGAAGATGAAGATGAAGGCGATGATGTTGATGTTATTTTTGGAGATTCCTGAAAGTTTTGAAGGCTCTGTGGCTCACTGTGAACTGGTTGACAACTTGTCAAGGCATCACAGACAATAATACTGAACACATCAGTGGCAACCAAGTGCTCCTTCTTTATAAATCCATCTGTTAACAACCCCTCTGTCCTGTGCTGCCCCCTATTTGTTACTAATTCATCTGACCAGAGCTCATCACTGTTGCCCCTGTTGATGTCCTTGCTGGGAATTATTCCAGTGTATACCTTTATATCTACTTGTATGTAAAACTGACCAGCAGTGACCGGTATGCCCACAAGAGTGTGAGATGACTGGTTGAAGTACATCCATGATGGTAATGTGGGTTTTCCAACTTCTGTCAACTGAAATATCATTGGCACTATATTAGCACTGAATATTTCATTAATGGAAAGATTTATATAGTCAAAATTGAATTAAAACTTTTCTAAAATATTAAAATGACAATGAAATCTACATGCATAGTTACTTATTATGCCAATCTTCCATACAGAAGTGATAAGAATTTCTAAATAAATGTTCCATCACATTATAATTCTATCATAAGCTCAAAGAATGTATACATGTAAAGGGTAAACAGGACTGAATGCACTGACTGCAATCTTCAAACAAGTACTAGTAACTATTTGTAAGAATCCGTAAATGATGGAAACACTTGTGTCTTTATGTGAAAAATAAGTCACTTTGCAAGAGAATAATATACAAACTGAAGAAATGTATCAGCATGCACGCCTGTGTGTATTTGTGTGAGTGTGTGTACATCTTCACCTGAACAACAAGACGCCTGTTTTCAAAAGCCACAGTTGGTATTTTGTACTGAAACAAATGCCCTTCCACAACACTAACATCAGGCAAATCCAAATTAAATCTCTGTATAAAAAGTTCACTGTTTGTTGCAGCACCTCCATTCACAATATCAAGTATATCTGGCTCATGCACATAGCAGAAGCTTGCTCTCAGTAAGCATAGGAGAAATAACAATTCCAATCTGCACAGTGAGGACATGTTCTGTCTTTTATGCCTTAGCCTGGCATTTGATAGCACGACCAATCTGTCCCGATGGTATCCCCTCTACATCTTCTTCTCTCTGAAACGATGAAAAGTAGATGGGAATATATATTTAACTGTTGTCTTAAGAAGCTAACCACGCCTTCTTTTAAGCTTTTTATGTCTCAGGTAAAATTTAAAGCAAGACGTGCATTTGCAAACATTTTCGAACAAAATTGGCATAACTGAAAAGAGCACCCAGTTACGACATGGTATAATGGAGAGATGAAAAATTGAAAAAGAAATGAAATATTTTAGATCAATGCATCACTGCATACCGCTGTACTGTAGTTGTCAAATCATTCGTTGATCAGCGAAATGAGTCATTTTCTTCAAAACTCCAAGCCTGACCAATGCTAAATCACTTATCTCACTACTTGAGCTTACTGAAAACTAACTGAACTATAACATTTCACTTAAAGCACAAAATTCGCATACCTTTGATAGAAGCAAATATCACATCTTAGAATAATCCCCTTTATTCTTCACAACAAAAGCGTTAAAATTCCAAGCGGTTGTAGAAACGGAAGTTGGTTTCTGTACTTTATTGGCAAAAGAGCTCCACTTCCGTAAACAACATGCGTTGTGAGAGGAGACATGGATGTAAGCGAAGGATGTGAAAATATTCCGATTTACCTCGACAAGAGAGATCGAAAAGAGCGATCCCCCGTCTTTCAGGTACAGTGAATAATAACACTTTGAAGAAAAGGGAGTCGGGGGTAAGGGAAGGTTGAGCAAATTAGATATAACAATTATATCCGATATATAATTCCCTCGATAGATTCATAGAAGCAAAAATGGTAGACGAACCTGTACTGGTACACAGCTGTACATATGTACAAAATGATACATTTACTAGTACATGCAATTGGAACCTTTGTATTTGCATTTTCTTCCACCCAATAAGTCTTTGATTTTTAATGTTTTTCTAAACTTAGTTTGTGGTGACATTGAACAATGAAATAGTTTGGCTGTTTACTTACTTACTTTTGATATTTTCACCAGACACTTTCAAACTCAGTTTACTGACCTCAACACTCATTGTCTGTCTCATTGTATTTCATTGGAAGTTTCTTGTAAAACATTGAAAAATCAGAAAGTAAAAAACCAAACTATGATCATCTGGGAAAAACTACTCAATACAATCTAATGTTTAATGCAGAAATTTGCCAAGTAGCAGCAGCTAGATTCCATGGTTATAATTTTCAATTTGAACTATGGAGTTTTTTTATTTAGTAACTCTTCAGATACATTTACATAAAAATTTATGCTCCATTTCCCACAGTATTACATATGTTATTTCTTAACACCTGGGCCTTTTCTCTCTCTCTCTCTCTCTCTCTCTCTCTCTCTCTCTCTTTTTTATGTACAGACACAGATATGTGTCTGTACATATAGCCATCATCTGCGTCTGTCGTCGCCGTCGTCGCCGTTGTCGCCGTCGTGCACTTTTACCGATAACACGATAAGTGGAACACCGTTTTTGCTTTTGGCTTGAAACTTACAGAACTGGTGAATATTCCTAATACGCAGGTCAAGTTCGAAAATCAGCATGATCGGGCCATTTTTAGGGAAGTTATGCTGTTTTTTCACTTTTTTCAGCATATATGCAGCACCGATAACACAATAAGTGAAATAACATTTTACCTTTTGGCTTGAAACTAACAGAACTGATGGATATTCATAATACGCAGGTCAAGTTCGAAAATCAGCATGATCGGGCCTTTGTTTTAGAAGTTATGCTGTTTTTCACACTTCCTCAGATTCAATTATTAGGCATGTTAACAGTCTCATTATTTAACTAATAAGATACGTAAAAGTGTTTGTTTGATATTTCCTGCATCTTTACAACATTGTTAATTGATTGTGTAAAA